AAAGAAGGCACAAGTTCAGACAATAATTGAAAGGAGCTGGAACAATTTGGCTATTTGGCTGTCCAAATCTGGCATAAATCAGAACTCCTTATTTATTTTACTTTTAAAAAAAATCAAATATACTCAAGTCCTCAAGAACAAAACAATGGAAATGTTTGATTGAAGGAGAGGTGATATCATGAAATCAAAAGCCTCCTGTACAAAGTTATTTTGCATTTATTATTTAAATCAGGTATGCTCAGCCTGCAACCTATGGGTCACATGTGGCCCTGTATAGCGAGTAATGTGGCCCCGCAAGATAATAGAACATTAAAAAATAAAGGAAGTTTGTTATTTATATACATTAATTGTACTGTATATTTTATATGTGGCCTTCTTCACTCTGTGGCCTAGGTAAGCCTGGACAACTATGATCTAAATACAAAATATAGAGCAGAAAATGATAGACAGCCATACTGCAGAGAAAGATTTTTTCTCTACTCACCCAACTTATGGTGACTGATTTGCAAAGACAATCCTACTAAGCAATAGTTGTCTTATTATCTAACTCCAGTGTTACAATGTTGGAGAAGAGTCCTTCCCCCCTCTTTCTGAATTTCTCCCTCCTCTTCACCATGTTGCTGTGGCACTCTTTTCTTCCATTGCACACCACCCATGCACCTCCCTGGTTGCACACTTGCAGAGGGTGGTGAACAAGGGGAAGAGTAAGAAAGTGAAGCAAAACTGAGATTTCCCCTGTTAGCATGGGGACCTCAGTCTATCCCTGGTGAAAGAAAAATTGTCCTTCAAGACTCATCAAGCAAGGGCCCCATGTGTCTAGATAATATAAAGTCCTTGGCTAGTAGGGGAATGCTGAGGACTGAAGGGTTTTTCTGAGTCTAGTTCACACAAAACGCTAACACATAACTGGGTGATCTACTACAATATTCCAAATGACAATCTACCCATCCCCATTTTAACTAAGAGTGCTGCGTCAAGTAGCCACTTGCTGCTTTGTTACATTACCTGTAAAACTGAGGAAAATGGTTTATTTTGCCATGTTTTATTATAAGTGTGGTTGAATCACCTCTGGCCAAATATGTTTTATGGGCGCAGCTTGCTCCTGTCTTCCTAGTAGAAATTTGTAGCTACCATTCTCATATTTCCTCATCCCAAAACCCAGTCTTCTGCACTTTTTGTTAGTATCTAACTTTAGCCTCTTCCAAAGAGTAAACTTTAATTCCTAGCATCTCCAATGAAGGTTGTGCTAATTGAGGAATTCTGGGAACTGAAGTCCACACATCTGGACATTTCCAAGGTAGAAAACATAGACTTGTAACTACATAGCCTCATTCTGACAAACTTCTTAAAATATATAATGACTACTAAACTTCAACAAGTTTCAGCTGCTACATCATCTAATTTCTCCTTCTGGAGACCTTAGTGCAGTGGTGGCGAACCTATGGCATCGCGCACAGTTGATGTTGCAGGGCGCTGGCAGAGGGTGTGAGTGCCATGGCACTGCTGGGCTGCCTGGGCAATCTGTGGTGGGCCCTGGAGGCAGTGAGTGGCCCTGTGGGCAGGCGGGGCGGAGGCGGGACAGGGGGCGGGGCCAGTTTTGGGGCACTTGATCTCTAAGACAGTGGTTCTCAACCTGTGGGTCGGGACCCCATTTGGGGTCGATCGACCATTTCATGGGGGTCGCCAAGCAAGGCTGTCCGCCATTTTTTTTGTCCGCCATTTTTCCCCCCTTTTCCGGTGGGTGCCTTACCTCCCTTGGACTGGGCCAGCTGGTGGTCGGCCTGCTCCGTCTCTGCCGCTTGCCAGCTATGCCTCGGCCGGCGCAGGGGGCGGAACCACGCATGCGCGGCGCTCCTGGGCAGGGAAAGTCCTCGACTTACAACCGGTTGGGTAGTCCTTGACTTATGACCGGTTTAGTCCTCGACTTACAACCGGTTTAGTCCTCGACTTACGACCGGTTGGGGTTGCGGCATTAAAAAGGTTGAGAACCACTGCTCTAAGAGGTTCGCTATCACTGCCTTAGTGGAACTGACTTTCAGAATTCCTTCCCAATTTCTAAGGGCTGAAGCTGTGAGGTGAAAACCGGTGATTCTCAAACACACAGGTAAAACTGCATGGTTTCAGCGCATTGGTGTCTTCTATCTTGTTTTCGGCAAAATTACTTATCTAGCTCTATTATGTCTGTTAGTGCTGCTGTAAGTAAGTATCTGAATACAGGTTTTAATATTGGAATTTATGACCACGCTTGGCATGAAAGCTGGCATACTCTTGAATATTGATGAGGAATTTATTGTCATCCCTCCATCCCCACTCCCCAGTTTTAAACAAAGGTGCAAAAATTCTCTTGGGATTGGGTCCCCATCATTCCTTCAGATGCTTCATACTGTCTTTGTCGCAGGTGTTGCTGAGTCAGAATGACACACATCTTGTGCGGAAGACATCATAAGCTGTGACTCTGGGCTCCACCCTATGCCCTGTTTTTTTTTAAGTAGTAGCTAATTGATCGGTCCTGAAATTCAAAAGCTGTTTATAAAGAGATGATATGCACAGATGCATGTATTCAGGACTTGATACCATCCTGGGACAATCCAAATTCAGTCTGAAGAAAAACAGATTCTGCACCTGAATAAATTATGCAAAAGAAGCACATTTGCATATCTCTTCTATAATTTAATCTGTTTCTGCTACTAGGAAATGTTCCATTCCTCTACCTGCCTTATTCAATCTTTGCCTGGCATTCCAAAGTTCTATCTCTTGTTTTTCAAATTTAGCTTAGAAACTTGGCTTTGATTTTTTGTCTTTTTTTTTAACAGCAAAGGTTATTCTATATGCTGAGGGTGAGCCTGATTAATTTCATTGAACTGGGTACTCCAAATTCTTATGCATTCATAGAGATGCCTTACAAATCTTCATGTTGTCCCCAGGGAACCATATTTGCGGGAGGGATATTTTGTTGTCTGCATAACTATCCGTTTTAGTCAGAAGAGTTATGGAAGAAGTATATGTCCTTGTGAGTTTAAATATACTTATGGAAATAGGGGGGGGGGAGAGAGAGACAGAGCGAGCGTTCTCTAGCCACTTATAACTCTGGTGAATATTTTATGTTCCACTATGACGGTGCATATTTCAAACTGGAATCCATGCCAATTACGTAAAGCAATTTTGCTGTGGCAATCAGACTCCTCCCTCTGTATCTTTATGGTGGGCTGGGGTTTTATTTTATTTTTTCTTTGTTTGGCTTTGTTTATTTTTAAATAGCAATGAACTTCTCAGCTGCATCGACCGGAGCCTTGTTTGATCTCCTAGTACTTTAGAAGGCCTTGCTTGGAAGGAAGTGGAGTGGATGTGGGGAGATTTGGATAATAACTGATGAGCCATTCCTAAAGGAATATATCATCTTACGTTGGGTTTGCCTTAATGGGAATTGGACCATTTTGGATCATGACTATCCAAAACCTCTTTTTTCTCAAGATTTAGATGGTTGAGAATTTGATCTCAGGGTGCTTAATAGTCAAACATTCCTTTCCCGATTTGATTTCTTGTGCATTATCTTTCAGTTCAGGAATTGACAACATTTCGAATTCCTTGTCCTGCAAATTGAAGAAACTAAGATGAATTTGACAAGCTCATATCACCCCTTGCTATTTTAAAACCCATCCTCTACTAGCAAAATTATTCTCTGGACTGATACAAGGCTGAGCAAATGTAATAAAATAAATGAAAATATAATATTCAGCCCAGAAAAAGATTTAGGTATAATGGGAAATCTATGGATGTATTAAGGTGGTGGTAGCAGAAATAGTAATGCTGAGTAGTGGAAACATTATTGTATGGGGTGATGGGGTGGAGTGGAGAAATGGATAGATGAAGGTTAAAAATAGAAACATTTCTCTTTCTTGTTCTTTTCAATCATGGTTACTTCTCTCATCATCACATTCTGGTGACCAAATATATAATGTTTGGTAAATGCTAAAATACTGAAGATAGGAGCAAGGGGAGATATGAAAGAGTTTAAATGTGATTTGTAGAACTAGAAAAATGATTTCCCTATATATTTGAAGCATGCAAACACAGTGATACAAAATAAATTGAAGCATTCAGGTTTGTAGCCAAGAGATTCCATCTGGCTATAGAGCAAAGGAGAGATTTTTTTAAAAAAAATAACTTAGATAGAAAGTGGATTCTCTAAGCAGGGGCGCACATGAAAAAAATAAAGTAAAAATGGAAAAAGAAAGGAAAGCAGTTTGTGGTCTTCGGTGCATGCATGAAAAGCTACTAGAAAATATATATTATGCTGTGTGAAAATGCTAGTTAATCATGGTTGACCTCCAATAGCTGAGCACTCAGATAAGTATGCAATTATATATGGTTTGTATATTTTAATTCCACCTAATTAAATCAGGAGATCATATATAATTTCCACAATCCCCATTTGACTTGCACACAACACCCTAGTGAGGTAGGGAACTGACCTGAATTCAACCTCCATCCTTCCCCCTCCAATGAGTTCATTAACAAGAGACTGTATTTTTCAGATCTGAAGTGTTAGGATGAGGCAAGCTTGGTGATTATTGTGAGAACATACAAGAAATACAGCATCAACACTGAATGGGATGGCATTGCTCTAAAGACCTTGCTATGTGCATGTGTATCTGTTTAAGTGCAACCTCAGAGCTGGAAAATGTGTATAAGCTATAAGTGAGTAATTGAGAATACTAGTATCTGTAAAGTGTGGGCATTGCCTATGACAATTATAATGTCTTGCAAACCCCCCCCCCCCATTTTCAATTCCAGTTTGCCCTACAATTCAATGAAAGCGTAGAGCATTTACATGTACTGTTTTAAATAGTTGCAGTTTACGATTCAAACCCCGTTATTTCTCTTTTGGCTAGATGGCAGTAAACTTTGTCATAACAAACCCCCCCCCCATACACACACACAAATCTGTTTGCAGTTTCAAAGAGAGAAAAGAAAGCAAGCAGGCAGTGTCAAATTCTTACCTGTTTATCTGCCCCAAGGTCCTTCCAGTCAACTTCTTAAACTCTTCTTTTCGAAACTCCATGACGTTTTGCTTCCTTGGTAAAAGTAAGAAGCGCTGGGACGCTCCTGCCCCTCTCCTTTCCCAGTGTCACCTTTGGAGACACGGAGGTGAACAGTTACAGACTCCGCCACAACATCAGGAAGGCTTTTTGGGGAGGGACGGGGTTGCACAGCGATCTCAACCCGTTCCTCTCGCCCGATGCCTTTATTTTTCTCGTTTCGTGGGCTTCTTTCCCTCTTCCCTCGATTTTCGTTCTTTTCTTCCCTACTCTTTCCTTCCTAGCTCTTCTTCCTCCCCTTCTCTCCCCCGATCTCTGGGTTTTCTCTAGGACCCTCGAGATCTCTCAACTTGAGGAGCGGTGCGTGGGGATGCGACCATCAACGGCGCTGCCGCCTGGCGCCCTGCCCGATCCACCAACACGGCCTGAAGCGTCATGGGGGCAGCTCTGCCTCCGCGCACTAGTGCCCGCGCCCTGCGTGGGACGCTGCGGAGGGTCCCACTCTCTCCCCGCGCTTCCGCAGGCACCTAACCACTAGGGGATCAGCCTCTGGCAAGGGATCTGCGGAGGCGGCGACTCGGAGCGCCAGGGCTGGCTCAGATCGTCGGCGCGAACTTTCCCTGTCCCGAAAACCCGGACGCCGCCCAAGGTTGGGGTTTCAGCACCACGGAGAGCGACGCGAGAGTGCGCTACAGCGCCCGGCGTGAGATTAAGGGAATCGCGACCTGTGTGAGCTGAGAGTCGGGAGGGGGAGGGGGAAGGGGGACGGGCGGATAGAAGAGATTATAGGGGAGTGGACCATGGATGGGAAAACGAAAGGCAGCGAATGGGGAGGGAGGGTCATTAGTACAAAAACTGAGGTTCCGAAAGTGGAGCAAGAGATTCTAGGTACAGAAAGGATACCAAAAGAAGAGAAAGAAAAGAGAAGGGGAAAGCAGAAAGTAAGAGCTGTTGGAAAGAAGAAAAACTAATATAACGAATAGAAGTGACAACTTTATTTAGATTGAGGTCTGGATTAGGATCTGCTGAAAAGATGAAGAGAGAAGAGAGGAGAGGAGAGGAGAGAGAAGAGGAGAGGAGAGGAGAGGAGAGGAAAGGAGAAGAGAAGAGAAGAGAAGAGAAGAGAAGAGAAGAGAAAAGAGAAGAGAAGAGAAGCTTGGGCAGGACGCAAGACTTCCTTGCAAGTTGCGGCTGCGTCCCAAGAGAAGGCCGAGTAAGCAGCTCAGAGTCATTAATCTTTCAAAAGTACTGAACTAAGCCGAGACAGGAAGAAGCTGGGATGGGGTGGAGCGCAGTCGTGGCGGGGGTGGGGGGGGCAAGGCAGGAGTAAAGGAAAAAGAAAAGGGAGAGAGGTGGTGGAGGCAAAATTTTCTATCTCGCAGTCTCCAGTCTCTGGAGATTGGGAGCAAGTGGATGGCAGAGGGTTCTCTCTCCCACATTCAAATGTAAGCAAAGCCCTCAAGAAAGCGATGAAACGGGGGGGGGGCATTCCCATGAGGCAACAGCACCCGTTTGCAATCAGGGCTGGAGCTTGGAATAACGTGCAGGAGACCCCACTCACTTGGGATGATGCTTTTCTTGTCCTTTTGATAGGCTGTCATATCACATTAGCCATGAGAAACAAAATGCTCTGATGCAGTCTAGAGCAGTGTTCCTCAATCTTGTGAACTTTATGTGGTGTGGACTTCATCTCCCAGAATTCTCTATGCTGGCTGGGGAATTCTGGGAGTTGAAGTCCAGACATCTTTTATGTTGCCAAAGTTGAGAAACACTGGTGTAGAGTCAAAAGAGATGCAGATGATCTGTCTTAATACCAAAATCCTATGCCTCCGATTCAGAAGAAAGACCCATTCTTTCCAATTTTACATTCTTACATTCTATGAAAAACATGTTTTTGATTGGTGCACATTTTTCTGCATGGTTGTCTGTATTTCCCAAAGGCAACCATCCCAACCTGGTGCCCTCCAGTTGTGTTGAACATCCATTATTTAGACACAGCTTCAGACTGGTGAGAGCTACAGTACAAAACATCTGGAGAATTTGGAAAATGCTGCCTTGACTCATCTTCTACAAGAATTATGTTAGTTGTGTTGTTATGGCATCTGTAGACTTATCTCATTTTATACAAATGTTCAGTTAGTTTAAATATATTTATTCCACATAAAGTTAGGGGGGAGAAGAATTGCAATTATAAGCATTTTAATTTGCGAGTTTCTGTATCATCTTATATTTAGTAAATGTTCAAACAATTCCAGAAATGAGAAATTGGTCATTGCTACAACTTTGCTTGATGAATTGATTCAGTTCCACAAAAATCTTGTTAATAAAATAAAAATATCAAATGAAAAATGGCTCTTTTTGAATGTAGTGGCATTCTTCCCAAAATATATAATATTATTAAAGAGCATTGATTTGGCTTTCTGCATTATATAGAGAACAAAACAAATCAAGTTTTTTTTTAATCTGGCTGGCTGGATATATGCAACCTATGTAAATAAATAAAGACATGCAGACTTTTACCAGGAAGATACAGCAATAGTCACATTGAGAAGTTTTCTACTTTTATGTCTCCTAGTTATAACCTTTCAGAATTAATATGTGGATTATTTTTCCTACATATTTTTTGTTAAAGGCAATAAACATCTGTAACAAAAAAACATCTGTAAGTTGCTTTGAGACCCTTCCAAGCTGAAGAATAACGGAATAAGAGGAATGGGTGATAATAAGGATTTTACTTAATTATTTACATTATACTAATTGTGACTTATGACCACTTACTTGGAAGTAAATGCCATTGCTTAATTCTTGCTTACAGTTTGTGCTCCTGTCTGTAATGCAAACATGCTTTGATGGGCATTTTTAGGGCATGCCCGCTTTTCATTGACTGTCTCATCCTTAACAGTCAGCTGAGGAACCTTAAAGTCACCAGTCATTTGATAAGACCCCAATCAGAACTTCCACTTTCCTTAACTTTCTTCTTGTAATGAAGAAAGAAGTATCAATCAATTCAGCCCTTTCCAGCCATACTTACAGAATTTACAGATGGAGTTTGAATCTGTACATTTAAAAATGCAAACAGGAGGAATATGTGGGTTTCCTTGCACCGCTGACGTTCTCTCACGGTTTCTGAAAAACAGATTGCCAATCTCTTTTTAAATATATGGTGAACATGACAACAGTTCTTCTGGATCAGGGCAAGGCCATTTTATTCCAGTATTTTCTTTCTCACAATGGCCAACCAGATGCTTCCAAAGTACTTGCAAGCTGGAGGTGGAGAAGTACCAATCTCCCATAATCATTCCTCATATCCTGGAAGGGATACTGACTCCATTCCAAAAGTGGCATGGAGTGTTCAAAATGAATACTGTGTTTCCCCGAAAATAAGACCCAACCAGAAGACAAGCCCAAGTATGATTTTTCAGGATGCTCATAATATAAGCCCCCCCCACCCCAAATAAGCCCCAGTTAAGATTGTCAGCCAGACTGATGCATTTAGTACTGTTATTTTCCCGAATATAAGCTCTAACCAGAAAATAAACCCTAATGTATCTTTTGGAGCAAAAATTAATATAAGACCCGGTCTTATTTTCGGGGAAACACAGTAGCTCTGTCTTCTGAAAATGTATTCAATTCCCCTTAAAACCATCCAAATCAGCATAGACCACTATGGCAAGAAAGGGATGAATTCCACAGGCTAGTTCAGTGGTGGCGAACCTATGGCACGCGTGCCAGAGGTGGCACTCAGAGCCCTCTCTGTGGGCACTCGCACCCAGGCCCCGGAGATGGCAACTGTCCTCTTCAACCAGCCGCCCGCTAACTCACCGAGGTCCCATGTGGGTGGATACATCCCAGCACCCATGTGCTCCCTGGCCTCTATGCGTGGGGGCCGATGGTGCCAGGCCCCTACCTCGCCCTACGACAATGGCACCCCCGCCCTGCTTCGCCTTGCCTCGCCTCACCATGCAGGACCAGCCTCCTGCCCACTGCCCCACCCACCAGAGACCCCCTGGATCTCCCCCAACCCTGCCCGGCCCCCACAGGTGGCAACATCGAGTTGGCCATGCCAGGAGCAACATCGAGTTGGCCATGCCCACCCATCTGCCATGACCACTGTAGCCACGTCCACCCAGCAGGCCACACCCACCCAGTGGCCATGCCCACCCGGCACCCAGCAATACATAAGTGGGTTTTGGGTTGAAGTTTAGGCACTCGGTCTCTAAAAGGTTCGCCATCACTGGGCTAGTTACTTCAATCAGCTTCACTGAATGAAGTAACCAATATTTTAAAAGCAGCGTTTATCAACCTTAGCAATATTAAGATGTGTGGACCTGAACTTCCAGAATTCTGCAGCTACTATGGGTTGAGGCCCACACATCTTGATGTTGCTAAGGTTGAGACACAGTAAGGATGGACAAGCTCTTCTCTCTGTCCACTTTTTCCATGATTTTATACTCTTTGATCATGTTCTTCCTCATTTTTTATTTTGGTTTAAACCAGAAGTCCCAAATTGTAAATGTAGAATAGACTATTTTGTATTGGTCAAGTGTGATTGGACACACAAGGAATTTGTCTTTGGTGCAGAAGCTCTCAGTATACATACAAGCAACAAACTGATAAATCATAAACCATAAGATACAACCAACAAGTGATAGTCATAAGATACTTATAGGAGTTTTAGTTTTAGTTTTTTTCTCCAGGGGAAGAGAACTAATATGCTGGGGAGATCACAGATTATCTGTTGGTAATTGGATTGTATAGATATCGGCATAGTAAGGGAATGAGATGCAATAGACTGGGAAGTCACAAAAAACAAAACAAAATTAGCAACCCACTTCACTATTGCTGCCAAGAAAATTATATGGAAAATTTATCAGAAGTTGAACTCAACTTTAGCTTATCTTTATCTTTTAATATAGACTCACCCAAGTAGGTCAAAATACTATTTGCTTGCTTGATTTGGTATATGGTATAAACTCAGAAATATTAGTTTTAAATTGTAGTTTATGGCAGTAGGATTTTTTTA